AATTCGTACTATTTGTAATTTGCTGATTTTAAACGAATCTATCTATCTATCTATCTATCTATCTATCTATCTATCTATCTATCTATCTATCTATCTATCATTTATTAAACACGTTTACTTATTTGGTAAACTATTTTAATAAGCATTTTTAAACATTATCTATCTATCTATCTATCTATCTATCATTTATTATCAATACAAAACACATATTTATTTGGTAAGATATTTTTAATAAGCATTTTTAAACATTATCTATCTATCTATCTATCTATCTATCTATCATTTATTATCAATACAAAACACATATTTATTTGGTAAGATATTTTTAATAAGCATTTTTAAACATTATCTATCTATCTATCTATCTATCTATCTATTTTCAATACGAAACATGTTTACTTATTTGTTAAGTTATTTTTATTTAGTCATCTCTCCTTCTTTGTATTTGCGTCTGCCTATCTGTCTCTCTCCACAAACACAAGTACACACACACACACACACACACACACACACACACATATATATATATATATATATATACACATCGATTATATTGAATATATCCATGTATATGCATGTTTCTTGTATAGTGCGACCCCTGAATTTTTTGTGAAAATCTGATTTTTTATTTAGTTCGTGTATAATGCGACTTCAGTTTTAAACAATGATCCTATAAATATATATATATATATATATATATATATATATATATATATATATATATATATATATATATATATATATATATTTCTTGTGAGGGGCAGTGTGCAAAATTGTGACATGAGACGCACAGATGCTAAGACCCCCCCCCCCAACTCATGTCCAAACGCAAAAAGCTATAGCGCTGAAAACAACGGTGACTCAATTCAAAGTTAGAACTCAATTCTATCTCTTATATCCCCGGTTACTACTAAAAATAAGTACACACTTACTGACCCCTTTTACACAAATCATGACCCACCCACCCAAATTCAAGTTACATTTATTTTTGAAAAGAAAAAAGAAACATCTAACAATATTTCATCTGTGTCTCATATACGTACATAAATTATGTTTATTTATTCCTAATTGGCCTTAAAACAGAAATAAAATACAATTAAATTCATAAAACAAATATTTAACACGATTAATTTTGCCCCTAATTCCTGTCTGTCTCTTATAATTTTTGTTTAATTAAAGTTTTTTTTTTCTTTCCAAAAACTTGAGTTTGGTCGGGTGGGTCATCGTTATTTTGCAAATTCCCTCCAGTTGTTACACAGAAAAAAAATTGTACTTGGATTAGACGAAAATTAATTACAATATAATAAATATTACTTACATTCTTTTTTGCCGTCAATTGTGACGGCACGGATACAATAGTATTGTAATACGTAATAGAGAATTATAGGATAAAGTTCTACCAGTAAATATAAAGAATATAACAAATAAATATAAATATAAATAAACAGGGGGAGGCTGAATAAGAAAGAGAACTGAAACATAAGTATCAGAGAAAAGTGGTGCCGACGGAAAAACAACGTCTCAGTGATGTAAACACGTGCAAACAAAGATGGACGCAAATTGCAGAGAGAAAAAAAAAGCACATTTTTATGTCTTCGTTTATATAAGGTTTTTGTAGATTTTAAGGGGCACGCCTATTGAATGAAGTTTTGTCGTTCATGTAGCAACAGAAAGAAAGAATCTAGGCTGCGGGAGGCAGGTGAAAAGGAACTTACCCGTACCGTTAAGGTGCCGTGACATTGTGGGCCTTCCAGACAGGTTATGCTCCCCGAAAATGGATGGTTTTTAATCCCACCAAAAAAATTATCTGTTTATAGTGCGGTTACCTATTTTTTGTCTAAAGTGATCATTAAAGCTCGCACTATACTCGGTTATATGCGGTATATATATAGATATAAATAGATAGATATAGATACACACACATATATACATATATTTAATACTGTTTATTATAAACAGAGCATTTACTTAAATACTTGTGTCTATAAAAAAGAACGTTAAACATAAAAATGTCTTTAATAAATAAATTGTCGGACTTTGTCCATTTCTTTATATATATATACGGTATATATATATTTATGTGGAAAAGTTCGTAGTTTCATGGTGAAAAAAGCTTTAATTTTACATGACAAATATTTAATTTTCAACATAATATTCTTCCTTGTGAATACACTTCTACACGTAGACAAAAATAAGTATCCACTACATTAATTAAGAAGATGGCTCAATACCAAGAGTAGAGAAATAATTATTTATTATAGATTTTTTTCATGTGGACAAAAACAATTACCCACTACAAAGAAGCATTCTTGTTTCGATGCACTGATGTGTATCTCAACTGGTGGGAATCCCAAATGGTTATATGTAAATGGTTATAAAAATGGTTATAAAAATGGTTGCATATAACCAGTTTTGGTTCTCACCAATCGAGATGCACATCAGTGCATCGAAACAAGAATGCATCTTTGTAGTGGGTAATTGGTTTTGCCCACATGAAAAAAAACTATAATAAATAATTATTGCTCTACTCTTGGTATTGAACCCTCTTCTGAATTAATGCTGTGAACATTAGAATTTACATTATTTTCGTTCTGATTACATTTGGGATATAGTATATAGATAAAAATTGCCACTAAAAGAAATGTTTTGTTTGCACACAGGAAAAAAGAATATAAAAAAATTACAGAACTTTTTCAGACATTTGCAATAAAACATGTATTCGAAAAGGATTGCTGCCAGAATACACAACTGACGGATATATATTTATTTTCCTCTGTAACTAAAAGATATTCTAAACGTTCAACAAATCTTGAGGGATATGCCCTAAAGTACTGGAAATTGTGTTTGAGGACTGACCGAAAAGGGCAGGAGTTGCGAAAAGCTTGCTTGAATTCTCAGTAATCTTTCTTTGCCTGTAACATGATCTCTGTGAATTGTTAATCGAAGAACCATTTCATCAAACTCCAATAACTAACAGCTCTGGAGAATCATAATTGAATTTCCGACTAAATTACTCTCGTAATCGATAGTGTGACAGCGATTCACTCTTATTTGACATTACCAAACGACCATTAATCGAATACAATACTAATATTTATCGTGGGATCAATGGACGCAGATCGACTTCAATTAAGAAATTAACATTTTTCATTGCGTTACGATTCAAATTTCGTACGTTAAATTTGAAATGTTTGGGTCATTTAATAATTACTAGTACTAACATCGTCCCACAATTTTACACACACACACACACATATATATATATGCTTTTCATAAATGCTGTCTTCGTTCAATATGCAGTTATACACGGCGGGACAAAATCTCTAACCCTGATGTTTTCATCAAATATGGCGTCGGTGGTATTGAATCCTTTCTGATGCGATCACAGTTCAGATGGGCTGGTCATGTCATCAGAATGAGTGATGATCGGATGCCGAAAATCCTCATGTATAGCCAACTTTTTCATGGTAAGCGTAACGTAGGCCGTCCTTGGTTACGCTTCAAGGACAAACTCAAATACAATTTCAATGCTGCAAACATCCCTATAGAGGAATTCGAACTTGCTGTTGAAAACCGAGCAAACTGGACAAACTCCTGCCACCGAGCTATAACTAACTTTGAAAAGAATCTTTTCAACCATCTAAGAAAATTAAAAACCAACACAAAATCTCAGGCCAGTACATCAGTCCATATGCCGGTCAACATTTCAGCATGTCCCTCATGTGGACTTATTTGCAAAACCCGTGCAGGATTGTTGTTTCATACGAGACATAAACATAAAAACTGAACTGAAAGGCACTCATACGTCGAAAATGATGGGAGAGTCCATTATCATCATAATCATCATCATCATCATCATATATATATATATATATATATATATATATATATATATTAAGAAACAGAAAACTTTAAGGGTTCATGGGAATATAATTTATTTCCTTAAGAAACGGGATTTTGGTCCTAATTCTTCAGGTCTCCATTAGGACCCAAATCTCGGTCCTAAGAGAATAAATTATAATCCCAAGAACCATTAAAGTTGCCTGTTTCTTAATATAATTAATATTTGCTCTGTTTTTACATTGAGCTCATTGAGAATTATCAATACGGACTACCAAATAACTTTATTAACTAACTAGAGAGAGAGAGAGAGAGAGAGAGAGAGAGAGAGAGAGAGAGAGATGGAGAGGGGGAATATCTGACTTAATGCATGTACATGTTAACATCTTCAGTCAATTAAGATTAAAAGCCATGAGAGCCATACCTGGTGTAGCATCAGAGCATTTATAATAATAATAATAATAATAATAATTATTATTATTAGATAAATTAAAGGCATTAGATTGAAGGTATACACAACAGACTAGTGCAGAATTTGAACCCGATTCGCCAGTTTTCATTTTCACGCCGATGACAGTTAAGCAATCCGCTTCACATTCTTTTAGGAAATACAAAAATTCTTATAACAAAAGTTTGTATTATTATTATTATTATTTCTTTTTATTTCTGTTGTATATTCATTCCCTTCAGGGTCCCAACCAGAGACCTAAGATCAAAAATAACATTATGACATTTCCACTGAACGTTTTTGAAAAAAATAAATAAAAGCAAAACAAGGTAAGATCACACATTTTGCGTAGATAAAGATCTTTGTAAGGTGTGAGAATAATTTTTTGTATTTCTTTAAGGCATTGTCTACCAAGGATTTTTTCAATGAGTCTATCAGAAACTTTTCCATTCAAACTGAGGGCTCCAATCACAACTGGAATTATTGATGTCTTCATGTCCACTTCAAAATCCTAGAGAGTAAATGTAAGTGCCTCATTACCATGTCCCCTCCGAGATCTATAAGTGAAAAGGTCGCTGTAGGACGTTTCATTTAGATGGAGAGGGTTTTGCTGATGATATGTGTTGTTCCGCATGGTAATCTTTTGTTGCTCTTAGGAGTTGATGTGTCTAGAAATTTTACTCACATGAATTTCGATACCCTTCTTTATAACGTCCAATGTCTCTATCAAAACAGGAATAATTGCAGCTTTATGTTTCCACGATTTTGTTACTTTGATTTGCAGGTCCTTATAACTTCTCATTTATGAAATTCTATTTTAGAAACACTGGAATCTTGTGGGCGAGTCATATTATTACCAATCTGTTATGGTAATTTACCTAAGCAGGCATGGACTCTCCCAGCTATACATAGGAGCAGGTACTGCCTTTTGGAGAAGGAAGTTTTCAGCAGTCAGCTCTGACAGTCAGACCGAAAATTCTTGCTGTAACACTCGTTTGTATATGTTTATATTACTGTTTCTGTTAATATGTTTGTTTAACTTAATTCCTCTCTTTGTGTCTTTATTTTTGGCCTTAACAAAGCCACAACAATATCTATCTCAATCGATTCATATCTATCTATCTATCTATCTATCTATCTATCTATCTATCTATGTCAATCGGTCCATATCTATCTATCTATCTATCTATCTATCTATCTATTATGGTAATTTACCCACACACACATGGACTCTCCCAGCTATAAATACGAGCAGGTACTGCCTTTTGGAGAAGGAAGTTTTCAGCAGTCAGCTCTGACAGTCGGGCCGAACATTCTTGCTGTAACACTCTCATTTGTATATGTTTGTATTACTGTTTCTGTTAATGTATTTGTTTAACACAATTCCTCTCTTTGTGTCTTTATTCCTGGCCCTAACAAGGCCACAACGCAATCAAACTTTTAAAAATTTCTAAATTAAATAATGTTAATCGTAAAAGTTTGTTTAGAATGTGAATTAGAAGTGAAGTTTTCAGTAGAAGATATTCTTGTTTTCATGTAAAAAATTTAATAATTCGCTGATTATCGGCAAACATTACGCTGCCTATCTTCCCGACTGAGGCGAGAATAATTACTTTCTTTGTGTTTCAATGTTGATAACGTATGACAATGTTGATGTGGACTCTTCTTTTCACGCAGAGAGTTACAGTCAAGAAACGAAATCATTTTCGTATTCACTCAAGCGAATAACGAACTCATTTTTTTCTTCTTCATTGTTTATTGGACGTCTGCGCTGAAAAATTCGGGTGGAAACACTTTCAAAGTCCTGGCATCCATGATTTCCAAAATAAAAAGAATTCTTTCTATGCACACACACACACACACACACACACACACACACACACACACACACACACACACACACACACACACACACACAGAGGTAGATAAATACACAGCGAGAATGAGAGATGTGAATACAAGAATCGACAATGCAATGTTTTATTAATCGTAATTTAGAATAAACTCGTTTAGTACCATTATTGTTTGCCACCTGAAGAAACGTTAATTTAATGTTGAAACAAAATGTACAATTTTGTAGTGGATATTTACATGTTTTAAGGTAACAGTGCATAATATATATATATATATATATATATATATATATATATATATTAATATAATTTTATTTAATATATATATATATTTTTTTTAATATAATTTTATTTAATATATATATATATTTTAATATAATTTTATTTAATATATATATATATTTTTTTAATATATTTATATATATATATATATATATATATATATATATATATATATATATATATTATTGTTTAATATAATTTTTTAAAATATATTATTACTTAATATAAATTATCTAAATATGATTTATTGTTAATCTTGTTAATACATCTCATTTGCAAGTATAATTTGTTATTTTTAAGGTGGAACTTGATTTTTTTTTATATATAATTAATTTTTTTTTTGTATATAAAACTCCTTTTTCCGCCCTTTTTCTTTCAATTCCACATCTCATTTTTCATATAACCCCAATTTAGGGTCATAAGGTTTATATTCGGGTTTATTTTGCGGATCCTCTTCTTTTTAAGACTGATACTTTCCGCCCTCCCCTTACCACCAATTCGGGCATTTCGATCCGAATACACACCGGGGTTGAATAAGACTAACGTATTTCGCGTTGGTTGAAATAGATCTATACTTACCCCCATATGAGGTAATTTGGGATTTTGTTGTGTAATTTATATGCTCTGTTATAATAAATACATTGAGATCTTTTTGTGGATTAGTTTTAATATTTGATATATTATATATCAACAGATTTATTACCTGTACTATATATATATATATATATATATATATATATATATATATATATATATATGTACGTATGAATAGATTTATATATGAATTTATATGCGTGTATATGTGGAACTGACAAGAATAAACAAATGTTATCAATATTTTCAATCACAAATAAAAAAGGCCTTCACTTGACAAAGCCACTCTGTGAACATCTCATGCATATTTCAGAGATCTTACGACCCCGACTTATTGAAATTTATATTTTCTTAAGGGTATTTTCACTTTTGTATTTCATGGATGTCAGAAAATAAGAAAACTGTTCAAATAAAGAAAAAGTTAAAAAAAAAAAAAAAATATGGAAACCATTACAAAGGCGATAGAAACCTTTTCATATTTTTCTACGTTTTTCTTTTCCGAAATTTAAAAACGTGTTCTGAATTTTATGATTTTGCCTGATATATAAAATGCTGTGAGCGTATTTTTCATTTGTACGTACGAGCAAATGTGTAGGAAGACATCAATGTACGTGCGATATTTTTGTCTCAATCTTCATTTGTTTCGTTTGTCTGTGTATTAGAATCGGATCCTCTTTCTGTTCACGTAAAACTATAAAAAAAGTGTTGAGGTGAAAGATGGCACGATACGTATAAGAGGAGTGGATGGGGGGGTGAGAAAAATGGTTGTAGGAACAGAAGGCGTGGTAGGAAAGGTAGAAATATAAAGAGCAAAAATGAAAAAAAAGTATATAGTTAGAGATAGATAGATAGATAGATAGATAGATAGATAGATAGATAGATAGATAGAGATAGATAGATAGATAGATAGATACAGAGGGTAAGAGATAAACAGACCGAGATAGAAAAAGATAGAGATTGTAAGTGAGAGAGGAAAAGACAGACAAACCGAGAGAAAGAGAGTGGCATAAGGTGGAGAGAGAGAGAGTGATAGAAAGAGAGAGAGAGAGACAGACAGACAGACAGACAGACAGACAGAAAGACTGACAGAGAGATAGAGAGAAAGTAAGAGATAAACAGACCGAGATAGAAAAAGATAGAGATTGAAAGTGAGAGAGGAACAGACAAAGCGAGAGAAAGAAAGTGGCATGAGAGAGAGAGAGAGAGAGAGAGAGAGAGAGAGATTGAAAGGGAGGGGGTGCAGGAAGAAAAAGCCAGAGAAAGAGAGTGTCACAGGAGAGAGAGAGAGAGAGAGAGAGAGAGAGAGAGAGAGAGAGAGTAAGGGCAAAGAGACCAATATAGAGAGAAAAAGAAAAAAAGATAGAAACAGAGAGATTGAAAGTGAGAGGAGTAGAGTAGATAGACAAACAGAGAGTGACAAAGAGAGTGTCATTAGAGACAGAGAGAGAAGCAAACAGACCGAGATATAGAGAAACAAAAAGATAGAGTTTGAAAACGAGAGAAGAGCAGGCAGAGAGAGAGAGAGAGAGAGAGAGAGAGGAGTAAGAAAGAGAGTGGAATATCAGAAAGAGAGAGAGAGGAGGCAAACAGACCGAGATAAAAGATAGAAAAATATAGAGACAGAGAGATTGAAAGCGAAAGAGGAGTAGGCAGAGAGAGAGAGAGAGAGAGAGAGAGAGAGAGAGTGGCATAGTATATGCAAAGAGAAAGAGAGAAAGAGAGAGAGAGGGGGAGGGAAGGAGGGAGAGAGAGATTGACAGAGAGAAGTAAATAGACCAAGATAGAAAAAATAGAAACAGAAAGACTGAAAACGAGAGAGGAGCAGGCAGACAGGCAAAAAGATAAAGAAAGAGAATGGCATAGGAGATAGATAGACAGAGAAGCAAACAGGATGAGGTAGAGAGAGATAGAAAAAAGATACAAGCAAAGAGAGAGAGGAGCAGGCAGACACAGAAAGAGAGAGAGAGAGAGAGAGAAGGAGAGAGAGAAATAGAGTTGCATAGGAAAGAGAGAGAAAGAGAGAAAGAGAAAAAGAGAGAAGCCAAAGTAGTCAATGAAAATTTGAAAAATACAATTAGAGTAAGGATAAGCGCAAAAGTTATAGACAGAAAGGAAGACGAGTGAGAATGGAGAGATAGATAGAAATAGCTATACCGCGATAGACAGAGACGGAAAAAGATAGAGGAAGCCAGATTGAGAGAGAGAAAAAGAGAGAAAGAGAGAAAGAGTAAAGCAAAATTATTTACGAAGAAGACTGAAAAATTTGAAAAATAGAGAGAAAGTAAGAATAATTGCAGGGGAGAAGGTGAAGTGAATTTTAGCGAAAGTGAGACAAGTAGATAGATAGAAAGTGAGAAGAGAGGGGAACAGAGAGGTGTTAGAGAAGAATGAATGAGTCTTAAACTATGAAGGGAGCAATATTAGGAGCAGGAGAAGAGGAGGAGTAAATTTACAAGAAAGAGAAAGAGAGACAGACGGGCAGAAAGAGAGAGGGGCTAGAAAAAATGTTGATAGAAATAAAAACTTTAATACGAGGACAAAATAGAGAGAACAATTATATAACGAAACAAATTAAAGGGCGGAAGAAAGGAGATGGGTGTTGTCTAACAAAAATGAGGTGAAATAAAGAAGGATTAAAAGGGTAAGCGTAAATAGATAGTGACTTTAGAGATAAAAATAAGAGATATAATGAAACACACACATATATATATATATATATATATATATATATATATATATATATATATATATATATATATATATATATATATATATATTAAAGAAAACTTCCGTTAAGTTAACCGTCTAAATAGGTCAAGGTCTGGTCACTCCTCCTCCCCAATACAAAGTACGATTGAGAGAGATATGAAATTAATCCCTCCCTAAACTCTACCACGACTCTTTAACTACTCCTTTTACACTCTCTGTTAAATTACAAAAAACTTACACTACCCATCAATTTTCATTTCATTTTTCGTTTCATTTAATTTTTGTAAGTGCTATCTGATGACCCGGCGTCCTGGTGAAATAAATTATTATAATGGTACCTTAAAGTGGTCTGTTTTTCTTTAAAATATTAGCTCTAGATTTACATTGAGCTCTCAGGATTTCATCCTACATGGGATTACCCATACGGATTACCAAGTTCTTCATAACTCATATATATATATATATATATATATATATATATATATATATATATATATATATATATATATATAGGTCTTTAAATAACCTATGTCCTTTGTGCATACATGAGAAACTATATATTACTAGGTTTACAAAAAATAAAAATTTACTGAATCAAAGAAATGAAATAGCTATTCTTTGCCGACATACTCAAATTTTTTCCTTTAATAATGTTTAAGAAAACAAAAGCTGATAAAAGAAATATACATACTTATATTTGATATTTAATAATTTTTAAATAATTTAAGTAATTCTATTACATTTATTTGCTTTAAAAGAAGTATAGTTTATTAGTAATTAAAATTAAAAATAATATTTTAAAATTGTAGTTCAATACAACATATTCTAATCCGAAACACCCCTTTTAGAAAGAATCTTTATGTATACAAGTGCAAATTTAACGGAAAAAATGCCGAAAAATTTTTTGTCGTTCATAAAAAACCAGACGACATGCGATGAACGGATGTCATAATTCGTTAAAAAAGGCACCCCTACCTTAACTAAACTTAGCCTCTTTTCGAAAGTAACTCATATTTGATACAATTGTTGTCAGTAAAAATGAACACGCTACCGCCCCTTGTCAAAATGACTGGATTTCCCCGTATCCTTGGAAACAAATATTATGAATGTATGTGTTTATAAGACTCAGTAAATTTCAAAATAAGTTATTCCTAAATTCGCTTGAAAATGAAACAGAATTAAGGTCTTTTATTTAATTATATAATTGAATTTGAAGTGTCTATTTTAGAAACATGGTAATTCCTGTGAGCGATGGAACCATATTTTTAAAATATTTATGTCTTGTAAATTTGCATTGAGCACTGTTTTGTAAAAATAAAAATATTGATAAGAACATTGGATTATATATCTTACTGTTCTTTCTTTTTTATTATATATATATATATATATATATATATATATATATATATATATATATATATATATATATATATATATATATATGTATCTTTACGTTTGTTGGGTGACTTAAGTTTCGCTGGTTATCCAACACGTCGGTAAAAAATATAGCTTATTGTTTAAAAAAAATAATTAAAAAAGCAATAAGCTATATCTTGTGCCTGACGAGTTGGGTAATCAACGAAACTTAAGTTGCATACCAAACGTCGGTATATGTGTATTTATTAATATATATTCCATAGCTCGGTCTAACCACATCGAGCACTGTTATGTCTACACCTCTTGGCTAAATTTGATAATTATTTAATTGCTTTAGGAGCTGTGTATGCACGCCAGCACACGCGTATACGGTTGTTAATATCTAGCTATTTCATTTACCTAACACTATACCTATATATATATATATATATATATATATATATATATGTGTGTGTGTGTGTGTGTGTGTGTGTGTGTGTGTGTGTGTGCATAGATATAAGAAATAAGAGATATCATGAAAAACATACAGACACAGGCACACGCACAAACACACACACAAAAACATCTGCCAGCTTGAGTATTCGAGAAATATTTCTAGGAAAATATGTGACCTCTGGCAGGATTCGAATTAAATAAGAAAGTTGAAAAGGTAAGTGTGAATGGATAGTGACATTAGAGGTAAGAAATATCACGAAAACATTCGGTGGTGAACAAAGATGTTTATAAAGGATTTATAACAATCTTTCTTCACCACCTGATGAGATGCTTATGTTTAGGCATCGAAACAAATATGCATCTTTGTAATGATTACTTGTTTCTTTGTATGTAACATCTTATATATATATATATATATATATATATATATATATATATATATATATATACCACGCTATAGTAGATCATCGGAATACCATACAAGGCCGTCCACATATACAATTTCTTTATTGAATGGATTAATTGGGGGTTAGTTGGCACTGCCCATATGCACTCGAAGTAAGATGTTAATACTGGGTTAAATGAGAATTAAACAAAGGAAAACGTACAACATGGACTAGATATGGACATAGTTTAAATTCTGAATGGATTAGACAATGGCCCAATTTAATTTTTTGAATGGATTAGACAATGTCCAAATTTAATTTTTTGAATGGATTAAACAATGGCTCAATTTAATTTTTTAAATGGATTCGACAATGGGTCAATTTAATTTTTTGAATGGATTAGACAATGGCTCAATTTAATTTTTTGAATGGATTAGACAATGTCCCAATTTTTTGAACGGATTAGACAATGTGCCAATTTAATTTTTTTAATGGATTAGACAATGGCGCAATTTAATTTTCTGAATAAATTAGACAGTGTCCCAATTTGATTTTCTGGATGGATTAGCCATTGGC